TGGCCAGAATTAAATATTCTACCAGAATTTCTCACCTGGTAACATATTAATGTCTTATGATCGTTTTTTTTAATCTATTTCATAACAATATCTGGCATTATATGTTCCTACTAATTTTAAATAATGATGTTGTCTATGTTTGTCCTTTTCAACTCCAATTCCATTTTAATAACAAAATTAAATTCATAATTCCGTTTCAACCCCAATTTCATTATCATAAGAAAGCCCAGAATTAAATATTCTATCAGAATTTCCCATCTGGTAATATACTAATGTCTTATGTTTGCTTTTTTAACCCCAACTCCATTTTCATAACAATGTCCAACATTATATATTTCTACTAATTTTAAATAACGAAATTCAGCAACATATATTCAGTCAATACATTCTATTGTAATAAGAATTTCAAACGTTATATATTTACTGACATTTAATTTTTGATAACGACTAATAGTTTTGTAATCTGTCATATGGCCAAAAGCGATATTATTGTTTGTTAGTATAGGTCAAGAAGGATTAAATTTAATCTATTATAGGTGACCCTATCATTTTGTACTATGGTGTAACTAATCATAAAGTATAATATATAAACATATATGATATAGTATATATAGTAAATTTTTATTTGTCATACTATGTGATTGGTTATACTTTAGTAAACGAAAAGGTCATCAATAATATATTTAATCTGTCAAGAACAATGTTTTGTATTGTAGAGTTAAAAATAGTTTGATTAAGATAGTTTGTAGTTAAAAAATAAATAGTTTGTAATCTGAAAGTTAAAATAGCTTATGTTCAGAAGTTTAAATAAACTTGAATAAAGTTTGCAATTATCGCTAAGCTATCTGAGTTACTAACTTGTCAGAACTTAACCACCTATACTATAGGTGATCTGCCAGAAATTTTTTTAGGTATTAACCATCTATACTACATTTTATCTAAGTAATCTATATTCAAATATTATTATACCAACTTTTATTTGAATATTCTAAATTGTTAAAAAAATAGATCAGTAATATATTTATACTGTAGTATCAACACAGACAAATTTGATTGTATTGGTCTACAATTTAAAGAATAGTATTATAGTTTATAGTATTAGAGACATGACAAAAATTAGATAATTTTTTAGGAAAAAAGTGGTAAAAAAAGTTAAAATTATATATAAAAACCTGATTTTTTATATATTAAAAGAGAAAGATACTCCTCTGATAAAAAATAATCAGATAATAAATAATACTATCCTTAGAGCAGTGACAGATATTACGTAATATTCTAGGAGGGTAGCTAAAGATAATATTACGTATAGATATTTCATATATGATCATATATGATGTGGGGGAGGGGAGGTACCCTCTGATAAAATAATATTATGTAATATATGTCATGGCTCTTATTATATAATATTATTAAAAAATATTTAAACTCTGCTTTTTCTCCAAGACAAAAAAATATTAATATATAATCTACTCTTGGTTTAGAAAATCAATATATGCTTCACATCTATTTCTTTGATTATTTTAGTTATTTTTAGATATATTTAACTCTTTGCTTTGTTTATTTTCTTGTAATAAAGCTTTATTATTATATACTATATTTTCTTAATAATAAACTGTAATTTTATAGTATTTTTTAGTGAAATTATTGTTTTTCTTTTGATATTTTTGATTTATACGAGTAAAACCAATTATTTTTGATTTATTGTTTAGTTATTCTATAATATTTTATTTTAGTTTTAGACTTTTATTTGATTTTTTTTTGTTTAAACACATTTCTTAACTACTCTTATATGTTAAGTAATATATTTGTTTGACTTAACTGATGATGATATATCTATCATTGAAATATTTATAATTTGATTAAACCAAGCAAACATATTATACTAGTATCTTTGCTACTTGAGAAAATAACAACTTAACTACTTCACTAAGTTACCACACTTTTAATCACAAATTTTAAATTTAACTAATTGTTAAAAAACAATAATATAAATAAAATATTCAAATTTTATTACTAATAAAATTTAAACTCTAAATATACTATATACTTGAAAAAATAACAACTTCACTATCTTACTAAATTACCTTATTCTAAAACAAAATTTTGTTAAATTTAATAAGTTGTAATATTGCAAATTAATATAAAAAATTATTATTTAGGCTTAAAGTTCAAACTAGTATTAGAATTAAAGTTAGAAGGCATATAAACATGCAAAATTAAGTGTTAAAAACTTTTACATAATAGAATATTTCTAATTTTTCGTTCATTTATGTTATACAAGATCCCGTGATCTAATTGGTCGATCATATTAACCTGCGATATTTAACAATATTCTTAGATTTATTATTAACTCAATACTTTTTATAATTTATTTAAAGAATCATTTTTTACAGCCAAAATTGTATATCTGCTATTTAAAAATAAGGCTTAGATTTCAAATTAAATGATGCACAAGTTCTATTTTTCTCTTAAGAAATTTTTGCATTCGAAAAATCAAGCTCAGGATGTTGTGCCTGAAATTTCTTCAAAATTTCTTCGTTTTGCAATTCATCTGATGTCTTTTTACCCATCTGCTTCTGACGTTGATCAAACTAAAAAAAAAAAAAAAGATTCATGAATTAATTGATAATAAAAGAAAAATAAATAAATAAAACTGGCATTGAATAAAATATAGTCACCATCATTTTTTCAACCATTGCACGAGTTTCACCATCTAAGTCACTTAATTTAGAATTTTCAGGCTGAATTTTTGTTGTATCGATAGGAGGATGGGTTTTAATAACATTTTCCCACCATTCTACAGCATTAACTTTTTCCAAATGAATATAAACTTCTTTTTGGTCCTCTATTAAACAGCAATTATAAGTAATTTACGATCAAGAAATGAATGAATATAATAAATCATTAAATCACATTACCAAGCGTCCAAGTACAATCATCAACCTTAACTTCTTTACATAATTCACCCTAAGTAAATAGCTCAAATAGAATCAAAATTGTCATCATCATTTTAATGTCATAGGAATATATACCGATAAATTACCTCAACAATAGGTGGATTATTTTTCAATCCCGTAGTCAAATGTTTTTTTTTGATCGTAACTATTACATCTCGTGCACGTGTTCCCTTCGGTACAGGAACTGTAACATCAACGTCTTGTAAAGTTTGTTTCCACCTGTAGGGCAAAGCTATATATCGTTTTAATTAACTAATCAATAAAAAACCAAATTCGAAATAAAAAGCTCAATTACCTGCTTGTTCAGCTTCCTCCTTTTCTCTTGCAATTCTGTCGTGTTCTTTTTGCTCTTCAGGTGTCATATCATCGTAATTTTTAGTGTTCGGCATTTTTTTTTTTTTTTTTTCAAATCCTTTGGGTGAAAAAAAAAGAGGCTTTAATTGCGACTACAACACGCGACCTACTAAGTAATTAAATATTTGGCAAATATTTCAGTGGCGCAGTCCAGTCCAATCCAAGTTTGTCGATACTGATATCAGATTTTCTGATATAAATCTTAATCGATTTTTTTCGAGACCAATTTTCAACATGGATAATTCATCTAATCAGCCACTACCACAGCCTCCTCTCCCCCCTCCCCTTCCTCCTTCAGCAAACCTTTCCAAGACTCAAAAAATGTTGAAACAATTGTTAAAAGATCCATTATTGTCAGATTTAACAAAGTTGAATAATAATGGTAGCATAAGCATAGAAGAAGTTGATACTCTGATTTCCTTGGAAAATGGTACAGCTTTTGAAATCGAGATTGAACGAGACGGATTAGAACCGTTAAGTAAGTTATAAGAAGGGCAGTGAAAGATGTTAGTAACATTCTTTTATTTTTTTCTTTTCTACAATGCAAACTCAAGCTTGAATTAAAATTCGGCTGGCCTGTTACGACTCGTGAAGCATGATCATAAATTGCGCAATAGCACTAATAGTGAATCATGCGGCACAATGTCAGCCATTTACAAATATCCGTAACTGCCCTAATAATACTTATAATAATATAATAGTCTTTTTTTATTTAATAGTTTAATAACTAATCAAAATTTCATCGGTTAGCCTTGGTGGTGCGACAAAATTCTACTATCACTGATGTAAAAAAATTTAATCCAATTAAAAGTTGAAAGACTACAAAAACAAAATAATAAGGGACTTAGACCTAATAAAAAAATTAGCTGGTTAATATTTATTTAAAAATCTTTTAAATATTTATGAATATAATATATTTACTATTTTTTGAATTTATCTTTAATGTTTAGGAAACACATTTGGAAGTCTTATTGTTTAATGTTTGAAAACCAACGTCTATTACAAGATAAGCTTCCAATACAAGAATTAGGCATTCGTAGTGGTAGTGTTTTAAAGTTTTCAAGGTTTGTTAGAAAATCACGTAAAAAGCATGGTATTGTTGAGGATAATCGAAAATAAATATTTTAAGGTGAGCTTTTAAGAGATAGATTGGAGTTTGTACTATGATACTATGATAATGGATCCTATTTGTAAATCTGGGAGTAATTCATAATATGTATCCTGTATCCTTTATTTTTTCAGCTTTTTTTTTTGCTTAAATATTAATAATGAAATTTATTACTAATTTAAAATATACACAAATTACATTTGACTAATCTTGTATCCTAGCAAGGTTTCTAGATATAAATCAGCATAAAACCATGCCATTGTTTAAATATAAATTAAGAACCACTTTTTAGTTTCCTGAGCGATTATTTGGATCAAAATAACTTTTCAAGCCCTCCCATGCTTCATTATAATCTTTTTGAAGTTCTGAACATGACAAGCCCCACTTAGTTATGCCAAGCATTAGAGAGGATTCAAACATGAAAGCTAGAAAATTATAGAATAAATTAGCTTTCCATTTTTTCTGAATATCGTAGTTAATAAATGTATTGAAATCCATTAATAAATAAAAATTATATACCCATTGCGCCCTCGGATACTAGCTGCGGCTTTAATTCCTCATTAGACGCTTTCTCAAAGGTGGTAGTATCTGGGCCATGCGCTGTCATATGAGTGTGGAGACTAAAAAATATACAAATGGGGATTTATAATTCTATAAAGTAGATGGGTTATGAATAGGACCCTAGTATCACCAGTTTAAAAACTGTTTTGGGGTTCTTAATCTTGAATTTTAATTGGACCAGATAGCGAAATGTTTTAGGTTGGTGACACTAGGGTAGTTGATAATGAGATTAATCCCCCGATCACTATATCAAGATCATGGGTGGATTAATTAATAATACCCTGGCCGTAATTCCCAACGGATCAGGATATTATTATTACAAAAACCCTGAAAGTAAATACCTTGCACCACCAGGAAGAAATCCTTTCGCCTTAGCATCATATCTACCTTTAACTAGTCCCACAAACTCTGCCATGCAATTTCGATGGAAATAAGGAGGACGAAACTTTGACATAAAAATTTAAATTAGAATTCATCCACATAAATTGATTAGATCAACCTCGTTAAATAAATCGATCTACATACAGTATGTTTTTGGACTAACCATCTAGGAGAAAAGATCACGAAATCCGCGATCGCAGTTCCAGGAAATGCGGATTTGCAAGTAAGCACAGTAAATATGGATGGATCCTTTTAAAATAAAACAAGTGATGATTAATTTAAGTGTTTATACATACATAAAAGAAAACAACATCGATTATTAAATGACCTTACCGGATGATCAAAGGAAATGGAACCTATAACATTAAAATTGTTGAGATCATATTTATATGGAACATAATTTCCATGCCAAGCTACAACGTCAAATGGTGAATGATCCTTGCGATTGAACGAAGTTAGATTAGTATATTTTATTGTATAATAACCAAGCTTCTTGCAAACTAGACTTTTGCGCAGCATACTTGTTTCGCGGCAAATAATTGGCCAACATATTTATTCACGATAGTGTAATTACAATTTGTTTTATCTTCGAAAAAGGCCGTAGGTGTCAAGAAATCACGTGGGTTAGCGAGACCATTTGCACCTATAATACGTACATGTATTAAATGTAAGATTAGATAATAAAGATAAAATAAAAAATATTAAATATGTACCTATTGGGCCTAGATCAGGCAATTCGAAATGACCTACAAAAACTTCTAAAACATAGCCGCGACTAGATTGATTTAAGGGGCAATTAATGAAGTATTGAAATACATGTAAGCAATAAATTTTAAAGCTACCTTGGACCATCAGGAAGGTTTACAGCAAATTTAATGCCACGTGGAATAACAACAATTTCACAAGGAGAAACCATTATACGACCAAATTCAGTGGTTATATCAAGTCGACCATGTTGCGGAACTATATATCAAACATCATTAACAAACTCATTAAATACATTTAACAATAATACGAGTGCCGCAAAGCGAAAATCTGTGATTGTTGATTTTCAGAAAATTTCATTTATAGAAACGAGCTTATCAGAAACCAGAATCTGATATGTAAAGTGAAATTTCCAAAAATCAGAATTACGAGTTTTCGCTTTGCAACACTCGTACACAACGGAATTGACGATTACCTATCAAAAAGTCACCGTCGGAATTGTAAAAAGCAGTATCAACCATATTATGATTTGCATTATATATGTGGATAGCTAAACCATTTCTTATAGATGGATCTCCAGCACCAGCTAAAGTATGCAAACCATAAATGAAATTTACATTTTGCGATAGATCGGCTTTCTCCGAGAGTAATTTGAACGGATCCCAGCGAGTTTGATTCGGAATATAACTAACGTCATTAGTATTGCTGAATTGACTCACAAGGCCAGTTTTTTCAGCAACTTTTGTGAATGGTTTATGGGCAACGGAAGGACGAATTCGGTAAAGCCAGCTATAAAATGGATAGGATAAATAGGTAACTTGAGAAAATAATTGATCAGAAATAGTAAATAAATACCTTCGCTCATTGTGCTTCCTATCTACTGTAAAAGCAGTTCCTGAAAGTTGTTCGGCATAAAGACCATAGGGACATTTTTGTGGAGAATTTTGATCTATAAAAGAGAAAACAGTAAATTAGATTTACAGGTTCGTACAGAGTGTTAAGAAATTTCCTGCAGTATATGATTGAAGAGTTATACTTTTAGGTAAAGAGTCAGGTAATGCTTCAGAGGAAAAATGGTTGCCGAAGCCATTCATATATTTGTACTCAATATGCTTCTGTTCCATTATGATAAAGCTGTTTTTAGTTAGGGTCTTTGCAGTAGAAAAGGTCTAAATGCTCCATTTATATATAGCATTTAGGCCTTTTCTACTGCAAAGCCCCTAGTTGATTTTTAGGTTAACCCTCGCTTAACTGCCTCCCCCCGAAAATTAAACAAGCCAATCACAACGCAGCATAAACTTCATTAATCATGTGATTAATGTTTGACCAATGATATTTGATCAAAAATTCTTGGACCTCCGTTTTTTAATCGTTAAAAATAATTCCCACGGTGCGGTTTTTAATTTTTTTAAAATTATTTTTTTAACACAGTTATAATTTCCTATTCGGGAATAGTTTGTACTTCTAATTAGTGTTTGTAGTCGATTTTGCATTAGTCGATTTTATCGGCTTAGCCGGCTTAGTCAGCCGATTTTTCAAAAAATCG